CTTATTAGTTGTACACAGGAAATTGAAGGAATTTATAAATTAAAAGATACTACGGTTATTTGTCAAAAATGTAACCAAAGAATTCTCATAGATAATCCACAACCAGGAATAAACTATTGTACATGTTATGGTGAAAAATTTAGTGCCACTTCCAATGTAGATCGTACGTAAATATTTTCTTTTTTGATTGATTCTTATTGTTTTTGTAATGAACATATTTATATATAACTAACATATAGCTATTTTGATTTCAGCGGACGGTTGGAGACCATATATAGAACGACAAGATATGCTTATTTGGAGAAGAGAAGAACCAAATTTTGGAGGATTATTTTCATATAAAGTTTATGGTACATTTTCGGATGTTACGGCCGAAGATTTTCTGCATACTCAGATAGATCTTGAATATCGAAAAAAATGGGATGTAACTGCTCGAGAATTACAAGTTATAGATACTGATCCATCATTACAAAAATCTGATAACAATGGTATTGATATTATATATTGGGAAACAATATGGCCGGTATGTTATAATCCATATATAACATAAAGATTATTTATACCAATTTAATTTTATTATTTATTATATATATTGTATATTTATTGCAATTTTAGAGATTATTTATGAACAGAGACTATGTATATCAACGACGATGGGTTATTGATAAAGAAAAACAGTTAATCATAATTATAAGTAAAGTAACGGAACATCCCAATGTGCCTAATAAACCTGGAATATACAGGTATCCTAAGTCCTTTTGAGAATTTTTTCTCATTCTTATACAACATGAAATTTATTCATTATATATATAAATAAGTAAATATATATATTTATTATGTGTGTGTGTGTATGTGTGTACATGCATTTTTGCATTATATATATTGAATTAGTCAATTAGCATTTTTTTAATTTATATTCCATTATGTAAAAATACTTGAATTGTAAACTAAATGAAAAAGTAGGAAGAGAACTTTAAAAGAACTTTCTGTTAACATTATTCAAATAGAGTCACAACATATTGGTCATATATGGTGATAAGACCTTATACAGAAATTCATCAACCAGGTATTGAATTTGGCTTAACTTATTTTGATGATCCTGGTGTAAATGTTCCATCTACGATTACTTCATGGGTCACAATGACAGGTATATCTTATATATTTTTATAAAAAATTATATAAAAAAGATTTTTTTTAATATGTATAACTTTATATTTATATATATTTTAGGATTGCCAGATTTTCTACTTCGTATGAGACATGCATCGAAAAATTATCAAAATTATAAGCTTTCAAAAGATGCAAATATTTCTACTGCTAATCGTATTTTTGCAAACGATGATATTTCTGAGCATAGTGTGGATGATGAACAAAGTGATAAAGAAAGTGAAGTACTGGATGCTAGAGATACACAGGAAACTGATCTTATTGAGGAAATCGAAACTTTAACATTTGCAGAAATGGAACAAAGTGATACATGTGATGTGAGTGACATGAGTGATGAAGATATAGATATAGAAGACTCAACCGACGAAGGCAGGGGTTTATTACGTTATTTTTTTCTTACAAAACTATTTGTTTGACCAATAATTGCAATATATTTGAAATAATGATATTGGTTTTGACCAATAGAAAGTCTTTAACATGATGTTGTACGAGCAGAGTGGTAATGTAATCCGTGATCACGATACAAAGATACAGGTAGAAATGGATATATTGGATCACCGGCGTTACATCAGCGATGATATCATACATGAAATATACAATTTCGATGAAATCAGCATGAAGAATTTTTAAAAATAATATTTTATTTTTATGATATTCTGTAGGATAACAAATGAGACTGATTATATTTGTAATTAGTTTCTTTTACACTATTTATTGTATCATAAAAAGGGACACATGTGAAAAAACGTTCAATTATAAAAAATTGTCAGGTAAACAGATGGAATTTATACAAACTTTTTGCTACATGTCCATAACACAACCAAAATGCCATGTTGTATCTATGTACATTCAGGGTAGTGCAAATATAAATAATTGCATAGAATATGAAAAATTAATTTTCTACACGCACATATATTCAAATTTCTTATATACAATTACAATATATATATATATATGTCTGTGTACATGAATTGATCTATTTTGACTATTTATAAAAATTGTAAATAATCTGTGTAATGTAATATATATCTTAATATAATACACATAATAATCTATATAATGATTATAAAATATTTGCAATATTAGACATGATATTGCATAATTGTTTTGCATTTATACTGTACTATATATATTTTACATTTGCAAATAGTTTGAAAGCATGAAAATGTTTTATATTCTAACATTACAATATTTGTATCAATTTCAAAAAAAAATATCATAGAAAGAAAGATGTATATTATATACCTGATTGTACAATAACTTTGTTCCTATTTATGTGTTGTTTCCATTTAATGATATTGTCTTTCAGATGTCTCTACCTCAATAAAAACTTTTGATATCAAAAAGACTATGCTATGCTATATTCTCTATAGCAGAAGTCAAAAATGTATCACCTTCTTCATCAATTTGAAAACAAATTTCTTCTGGTAATTGTTTTGGTTTAGATTTAAAACCAAAACAATCTTGATCATGACATTTTTGATAAATTGTTTTATTTTTTAAGTTTACAACCCAAAATATATTATTACTTTTATGCCATCTGTCAATATTTTCACAATACCTATTAACAAAAAAAAAATAATGCTAATTCTATTACTAGTTTTATAATTTTATTATTATATATAAAAAATTATATATACCTATATCCCAAAATTTCATATATCAATATTTTTACATCTTCAAAATATTTACATAGACGTATTTTTCCAGGATATATCATACTGTGAATATATTTATCCAACATTGGATATTTTGAGCAGACATTATTTTTTTCTTCATAATTATATTGGTGTACTTCTTCTTTGAAACATTTTGTATTTACAGTACCATTTTGTAAATATTCTAATAATATTAAATCTTTTTTCATAACAAAATAAGATATTAAAGAATCTAAAAATATGTTTAATTCTTTGTCATTGGTTGTATTGAATGGAATATATTGACAATCATTGGCCATTTTTAGATTTGATTGTTTTCCCCATTTAGTAGATTTATATATTCTAAAATGTCTATTTTTAGTATAAACTGAGGTATCAATAAATAATTTTTTGCCTGTTTTCGTTTTAACAATCAATCGTTCAACTAGCGATCTATCGAAACAACTTAAAATATTATGTTCTTTTTCCTTAAATGTAATATAATGCAATATATCATTACATACTGATTTTACTAATTTACCGACATGGTAATTATCTTTAAAAGCTATATTTTTAACATTAAATATAACGTGTCTGCTGAATTTTTCGTTAGTACTTGAATCTAAATTAATTACATTATATCTATTGCAAGGTACACGCCAATGTTCAAGTAGATACGCACAAAAAATATCGATTAACATATTTGTCATAAAAGGACCATTTTTTTCCGAATTTATTTCGATCGAATATTCTAAGTCCAAATATAATCGGCAAGGATAATTTTCAGGAATTACCTGGATTAAATTTATTGCATTATTTCTACGTATAGTTTCTCTAAATACACAATGAAACATACATTACCTCATAAGAGCATCGCCTTTCTTCTGATCGATCCTTGTAATACCACCAATATATTTCAGGATGAGCCACTACGAATTTACGACAACCATTGTCTTTCTGATAAACAAAAGTACAAAGCATATCATAATCATTACTTTCTTTTGAAGCCATATTAAGTGCATCTACTTGTTTTTTAAATTCCATCCAAAACATAGATGGTTTTAAAATGCTCAATGGCATTTTTGAAGATTTTTTCAGTAATTCATTATTAGATTTTCGTTTTTCAATATCCTGTAATTTTTTAATCGTTTCGATGTTGTAAAATTTATTCGTATTGATAACGCTCATATTTAATTTCTTGTTGAAAACTTGAATAAACAAAATTTAACCTAAGTATCGAATAATACATTGTTTTGCCATAAAATATATTCATGAACTAGGCAATTTAAGTGAGATGAAACCACATATAATTTTTCGGAACGTGTCTATTTGTACGTTACTGAGAAAGCAAATAAATTATTATATATTTTTAAGGAAGATTTCAAAACTTTTTTAGAGATTATTAAATTCTATGATTATCAGATATTAATAAAATTAATAAAAAATTAATTTTATATAAATTTGTATTTTTTTTATATTTTTTTTCAAAATAATACAATTACAATACGACTTAAATTCATGAAAATTGTACTTAAAATATTTGAAATATATATTGAGATATTTATTATTTTAACTGTAGAATAAGAATATGAGTATTACTTAGAATTTAAATCCATAGCATTCAAAATATCGAGAAATAAATGTTTTCTGAACAATTCGTATATCAATTCATCGATCAGAATCGAATTGATTGGAATCGAAGAGTTTTCTCTTTTTAATAAATACATCGTTTGTATGAATTCATTATTATTTATAATAATAAGTTTATAAAATTTATAAAAAAAAGATATAAAATGATTTTTTTGTTAAGGATTTTTTTAAATTGAAATTGAAATTTTTATTTTTATCTTTTTATTTGCAGCATTTTCAAAGATTAATTAAATATTTAAAAATTAAGAGATTTGGATTAGTTTTCAATATATATTATATATACATCATGCACAATGTGGAGTTAATCAGAATGCTATCAGAATAATGAATTACTATAAGATTCGACGATATGATATAAAATAAAAAAACTAATTAACAAATAAAAAAAATATGATATGTAAGTACAAAAATGCAGATTTTTTAACATGATGTCTAAATCCATGGTTCTTTTTCAAGATAAGAGTGATAAAAGAATGAATATTTGATGGAGATGTATCCGCCTAAAACGAATGACATTAAGTAATTAATCAAAGTTGTCGAAGAAAATGTGAGAAGAGGTGAGCGAATAGCTTTCGATAGCTATTATCAATCGACGCGATAGAAAATCAGCGATAACACGACACGAGTGAGAACGAGAAGTGGGTGTTTGCGACTGGCTAATGCGATTTAAGATCATCGAACGGAATTGTCAGTAGTTTTCTTTTCGTTCTTAGGAACTTGTTTCGAATTCTCGGATCGAAGTCTCGCGCCACTTCACCGCCAAAGTGAAACAAAAGGGTGCAATAGTAACGCGAGCCGCCAAATTCACTTTCGCAGCAATTGCTTTTACTCCGATCGATGAAACTGGAAATTTGGATCGGACCGTATCATTTCCGATGATCTTATAGTAAGTGCGGAAAGATTCGTGACACTTATTCGAAATATTTAAACAGGAAAAGTTTGAAAATAATTAGAGAGTGAATAATTAGAAAAATAAATCGCATCGCGATTTCTTCAGGATTGAAATGCTTCGAATCGTCGAGTTGTCCGGATAATTGGCTCATCCTGATCGACGGCGTAACGATCGAAAAAAGAAACTAGAGGGCGGAGATTCACGAAGAAAAGGATGGACTCGAAAAGGGGAATCGTTGGTCGTATAATTCGGCCCAGTAGCGAAACAGTGATGAACGAGGTTTCGTCGTTTTCGTTCAAGTGTTCGGAATAGTACAACGATCTCGTTCAAAAAAAGAAAAGTATACGAAACGTGAATAAAGGAAGAAGAGTCGTATAGAGAAACGTTCACACATACATGGGTATCAATTGGATCATCGCATTGACGATCGCCTGGCTAACGTGTCCGGTGAATGGGAAAATGACTTGTCGTGAGGTACAACTGGCTCGTGAGTGCGAAGCTCTTTGTAAAAAAAATCGTCACGGTGGCATTTCCTGTGAATTGAGAGTAGCTCTCCTCTTACCAGCCGATCCAAGCTTTGATATAGCGTTGCCGAAAGTTCTTCCGGTTCTCGGTAAGTTTTCCTCGTCATTATATTTTTTTACAAGTAAAATATTTTTTATAAACATAGTAATAGTAGCAATAATACTCATTGTCTCAGAGACTTGTCATTGGTTCAATTTATAGATTTGGCCGTCTATGAAGCCAAATTACGAGGTCTTTTACCTTCTTGGTTGAAATTAAAGTTTCTTTCGCAAGACGATCATTGCGATGCAACATACGCCCAAATTGGCGCGATCGATAGCTTCTCGAATTGCGTACATTTGTTCCTCGGCCCTGCTTGCGATTATTGCGTAGGTAAGTATTGTATACCGCGGATCTATCAACAGTTTCATATGTTCAAAAGGAAGTACGATTTTTTTAATTCAGCGGCCGTTGGCAGAGTGGTAAAATTTTTTGGCGCGCCGTTAATTACTACCGGTGGATTCACCTTCGATTTTACGCAAAAGAAAACAGAATGCAAGGACGAGTACTTTATGACAACCCGAGTTGGAAATTTGGCCTTCAGAGATCTCGCCAATTTTTTCATCGCTTTGATGAATCGGTAAATGGGAGAAGAATTAGCTGGCGAATCAGCTGGAGAATCAGCTGGGGAGCTATCAGTTAGAGAGAATCACTTTGAAACCGATTCACACAAGCTTTTGCGTTAGCTTCAGCTTCGGTAATTTGTAACGTTACCGCAGATACGAGTGGCGGAAGGTGCATCTGGTCTACGCGACTAACGGACAGAGTCAGCTCGCCGGCAGACATACTTGTCAGCTAATGATGAAGTCCATGGTAGAATTTATCAAGAAGCAGCCAAACTTTACGTTCGGCACGTTCGATGTCGAAACTACCGTTCCTAAAGATTATCCGGAGGCGTTGCAAAATCACGTGGGCAATTGGTACGGTGGTAAGTTAGTCAAGCATTTTCTCTCTTTTTACCGACTTGACGAGAGTCTCTGATTCTAACCTCTCTGAGTGTAACCGTCGCTGTTAAGTATCAACATATGTATTGAAACATACATCATCTTTTGACACGTTTCGCGTATCATCGGCCAATATTGTAAACGTTTATGCAAATGCGTTTCCACGAATGATCATTGGAGTACCAATACGAGATATATCTCTGTCGAAATTTCACCGTTGCTTCTGATCTTTCCGATGCATGTGAATAAACACGATACGTAGATTTTAGACGAAATCGTACGAGAAACAGATGCAACGAGAAAAGATGCATATCACGTTTCCGTGTATACCTACACAGTAAGCCAGATAAAAACATAATTGAACGCGCACTTTTTATCTTGACGCTTCGACTTTGAGCATACTTTTTATCATGGTAACTGAACGGGGCTGTTACATCGACGAATCAACATCGTTAAAAGGAAACGATTTTAGCGGATATATCTTGCATATAACAATGAGTCATGGTAATTTAATGATAAAACGCTTTTGTACTTTGCATATTAACGCAAATAACATTTTTACCGACACATCTTGTCGTTATTGTTCTATCGTTTGTTCGGTCATTGTCGCGATTTCATTTCTCATCATTTTCATATTTTCTTCGCGTTCAATCGAGAAAATGAGGAAAATAGAATTACGATCATCGATTTCATTATTCGTATCAATAACCGAAGTTGATGTTATCACATTGTTTCCTGAGCGTGTTATCACAACACCTTATCATCAGTGAGACATAGTATTTCTATTATTGCTCTGTTACGGTACGATATGAGATGGACGCGTCACAACATCTATATTTAAACATTTTCTTAACAAATAACATAAAAAAAAACATACACGCGATTGATATCCATTCAAAGTGTTACAAGGCTTCTTCGATCGATCTTTCTTATCCTAGTCAATGTTCTCTTTTCACCGTTTGCCAGTTAATCATGATACATGAGTTTCTAAATTTTATATTTAAACGATAACTCGCCCTAATAATCTCGTTGCTTCTGTCGATAAGGGATATACCTTTTGTCGATAATGCAAATCATTTTTCTTTCTTTCGTCGATAAGTTATATTCATTCTTATTTATTCAAATCAAAATAGAAGAACAGATTGCAAAAAAGAATAGATTTTGCAGCGATTATGATATAATAACGATACGATTATAAAATAAAATTCGTAAAATATGAAACATTAATATCGTATGAAAGAATGAGAGAACGAACGGGACAAGGACGCATGCGTTCTTGACCTTCTCCTACCTATCTTCGATGGAATCGGCGCAGCAAGGTGTAGCGCGGACTTCTATCCTTGGTGCGTGGTTTCCATCAGAGGGGTGAAGCGGAAAATGAGAGAAGGACAGAAAGGGAGAACTGTGAAAGAGAAAAAGAAACAGAACGATCGTTCAGCATCGGTGGAGGCGCGATTCAGAGTAAAGCGGGAGGGCTTTGGAGATTAGCTCAGTTTCATTCGTGGGTCCAAGCTCGCTCGTCTGCAAATTTTCTTTCTCTTTGAAAGAAATCACACTGTGTATTTTTAATTGTGATGTCGATGCGTGACACGTATTCGGGAAAAAAAGAAAGAAAAATCAGAAGAGATCGTGTGTATGCGTGCACACGCGTGTTGTGTATTTGTCCGTGAGAAAGAAAGAAGAAAGAAGCGGAAATTTTAATTCTTTAATCGGATACATTTTTCATTAGAATTCGTTTCATCATGGCTAAAGATTCGCGCGCAAACTTTTCTATTATACAGTCGAATTTCTCATGCGCGCGCAATCATCGCACTACGCATAGTAAAGTATATCATCGTATCGATAGATTTCGATTCGCGATTATGTATCGATTATCATCGATTAATTGATTCTCGATACGTAACGACAGAAAATCATTGTAACTATCGATACTTGCAACATAAGGATTTTAAAACGGTTAATAAGAAGCGAATATGGAACGTTTGAGTCAGAAAAAAATAAAAATGGACGAAAATAAGTTTCAAAGAGACACCGCTCGTCGAGGAATGATCGGATACGAACGAAAGTAATCGGATTCGAATGTCCGTGAGCGATCGATCAAAGCGGAAACGAGATGCAAAAGCGCGGAAGCGATTTATCGGTGCAGTTGATTTTGTTCCTGACAACGATGTTTGCGAGTGTAAATAATATCGTAATCGAACAACGCGCGAACGAGTGTATTGAAACACGGTTATCATTCAAAACAGAGGTGAAACTGGCAGTGATAGCGCCGGCCGATTTTCATCACGAACAAAGCTTGCCGCGGATACTGCCAGCTGTTCTACTCGCAGTTAAGGCAATTAGCTCTGCGAGAGGACTGTTACCAGGGTGGAATATCACGGTTGATTATCGAAATTCGCGATGCTCCAGCACGTACGGCCCATTGGCCGCATTCGAGTTCTACATCAACCGGACGGCAGGTCATTCGTCCTTAATATTTCTCTCTTTTCTTGATTTTTTTATATCGGCCAATTCGATTTCAATTTTCGATAAATTTTCTTAATAAAATTTCTAAATAATAAATAATTACCGATCGATTCCCTTATCGCTAATTCTATAATTAGAATTGTTTACGAGTGTTTTCTTGTTCGTCATTTCTTTTTTGTTTTATCGCGGAAGTCGTTATCGAATTACATCAAAAGATTTATAGTTACGATTCGAATTGTGCCAACCGACGGAGATCGATCTTATGGATCTTTCAGTTTTATTGTTTCAATTTAAGAACGAAAATTCGGTTAATAAACATTTCAATGATGTGCTGTTTGGATTCATTCGTAAGCAAATCGTAGAATTAAAAATTATCAGATTGATATCATATTCTTTGTGCTCGTCCATTTTTCATCGATTATTGGACCGTCTCTCGTTCGAGTTTTATGCTCGCTTTTTCCTTTCCTTTTTTCCCTCTCTGTCACGAGATCGTTACATATCTCCTCAATTCCGTTTAATTGCTTCTCTACTGGTACAAGATCATTGTCTCTGTCCCCTCTTTCTTTTTTTTTTTTTTTTTTGGTCCACCGCCAATTAACCGAATCGTCGTCTTTTTCGCGATAACCATCGAGGCTGAATCCTTCTCTCAGTCAAACGAATATTAACGGTGTCTTTTCCTCTATCCAACTATTCTTCATATCGCGCGTTAAGCTGTGTTTACGTGACGAGAAGCAGTAAAGCAGTCTCGATTGAACACGCGGGAATCATCAGCAATGACCGTTTTTCTTTTCACACACGACACACGTGTATACGCGAATATATTTCAATTCCATCTTCTCAAACGCGCTAACTGAAATTTTCTATATTCGAAGTAAATTCTCGGTTCATTGTATCGATCGAATGAAAAGATCTTTACGAGGAATATTCTTTTTTCTTTTTAACGCTAATCGCATTATGGGTCGCATTCTCTCATCGCATAAATTTTTCAACACTATAATTTATTTCATGACTCTTCGCGCGTATTGTATCGTATCTTTTCTCCCAGTTTTCTTTCGAACATTTCTTAATCCAACAAATGTAATGCGCGTGCTTCGACTTACAATTTCTGCAATTTCTCTCGTTTCATTTCTTTGCGATTCTCACGTATTTTTCGCATAATAATATTAATGTAATATAGAAACAATAATAAGTGACAATATTATTAACAATATTATAACAGTAATTATTCGTCTTCGATACTAATCCGAACCCACCCGATTTCTTCCGAACTCATCCGATTAGTTACGAACTCATCCGATTTTCAAAGTTGGCCCGACTTTTTCCGTACTCGCCCGATTCTTCCCGAACTCACCCGAAGTATCGAAATACACCCTCGTATCCCTTATGAACTTCGATTCTTAGTAATTATCGAGGCTAATAACTAGCCGGAACAGTAAGGAGAGTTTTAAACGCGTTTGAACGAAAATTTTATAATTTGTTCAGATGCTTTCTTCGGCCCTGTATGCGACTACGTGATAGCACCTGTGGCCCGATACGCCGGTATATGGGGTATCCCCGTGTTGACCGCAGGTGCTCAGGCCGAAGCGTTCCGTTACAAGAGCGAACATTATCCAACGTTGACCAGAATGATGGGTTCTCATCGGCTGGTAGGCGAGGCGCTCAGACATATCTTGGAGCGATTCGGATGGAAAATCGCCGGTCTGCTTTATCACAATCACGCGATGGCCAGCAGCCGTGGCAATTCGGAATGCCACTTTACTTTGGGCGCTGTTTTCACGGCCCTCGGTCAAACGTCGGTTCACAAAAGTTTCAACCAGGAAACGACCACTGTCCAAGATTATCGAGATTTGCTCACTTTTCTCGCGAAATCCGCCAGAAGTAAGTTCAGATTAGATAAGATTTAGATTTCCNCCCCCCCCCCCCGATTTATTCCCAAAGGATTCGTTAAATGCGAATATCGCAAGTTGGGAATATTTATATCGCGTATAGGAGACAGCCTTATTCTCCTCAGTCTAACTGTTCCAAAAAATTCGATTCTCTCGCAACAGCGATAAAATTCTTGAAATTTAACATGTAGATCATGGCCAGAACTTAACGAATTTTTAACAGTGTCGTCAATTTTGTTGTTCGAGAAAATGGCACAGTCGAATATATATATATATATATGTATATCTTTTTATTCGATGCGGGAAAGTACGACGCGACGGTTAAAATTGGCAGAGAGTCTCGTCTCGCGGAATAAACGGAAACGCAGATAGAAAGATAAACAGGTTTTTTTTTTTCTCCTTCGTTTCAGTCGTGGTGATGTGTGCCAATTCGACGACCATCAGAGAGATACTTTTGGCCGCGGAACAGCTTGGAATGGTCGATTCCGGGGAATACGTGTTCTTTTCCATAGAACTCTCGTCCAGGTAACGTGTGAAACGTGCGAAGCTTGGTTTCGACCACCTTCCTCGGAGCCATTAAATTTCGACCACAAACCGCACGGCTTCGAATTCACGTTGCGCGTTAAACCGTCGATTCGCTCCTTTGAAAAAATTATTGAAAATGGATAAATTTTCGAATTAAAATTAATTTTACGAATATATATATTTATATATTTACGAATATATTTATATACGTTTCGAGTATAGATTTTGACTTCTGATTCAAGAAATTGTCATTCGTGTTTCGTTGTTTCAGCGATAACAACTCGAAGGAGCCATGGAGGGTGGAGGGCGACACGGTGGAAAGGAACGAAAAAGCGCGGAAAGCTTATCAAGCACTGTTAACGGTCACCGCTCGAACCCCCGACAACATCGAATATTTGAATTTTTCGCGAGAGGTGAAAGCGCTCGCGCAAACAAGATACAATTTCACTTTTGGGAGCAACTCGGTCTCGACTTTCGTGACCGCGTTTTACGATGCGGTCATACTTTACGCCCTCGCGCTTAAAGAGAGCTTACCGGAACATCCTGACAGAATAAATCTGGACGGCGGTGACCTCACACGGAGAATGTGGGGTAGAAGTTTCAAAGGTGTGGCGTCTTATTTCTCCCTTTTAATCCAGTTGGAATATTCCTTCAGAAAAATTCTAATTAAACTCCGCCGTTTTGTAATCATTCCATCTATTTATCTATCTATCTATCTATCTATCTATCTATCATCAGCTCGAGTCCTCGAGCCGCAAGATCGATTGTTTTGATTGCAGGTATAACCGGAGACGTGAACATCGACGAGAATGGGGATCGAATAGCGGATTACTCCCTTCTCGACATGAATCCAGAAACGTCGAAATTCGAGGTAAAATAAATATTCGATTATCCATATATATATATATATATCTTTGATTACACGTATATTAAATATATATACACATTGTGTATATACATATTGAGTGTAGATCGTCGCCAATTACTACGGTGCCAATAAGACATTGCAATACGTAGCTGGGAAAAGGATTCATTGGTCGGGTGGCCGATCAAAACCACCACCTGATACACCCACTTGCGGTTTCGACGGCTCCTTGTGCCCTGATAATAGTAAGTCCTTCCAAATTGAAAATCCTGTATACAAGGATTAATGATATAATCCTTCTGATTTGTCATCTTTTCATTCAAATACTCTCTCCATAAAAAGATGCGAGTCCATTTTTTTTAATTTTAACTGGTGACTTGAATTAATGCCGTAACTCCAGCCAGGTCACTCTCCGCCACCATTTGGATTGATATGGCAAATATTATTATAATATATTATAGTAATTATATATTAGAGTATATTATATATATTATATATATATTATTATATATAGTATTATTATAATATATATATATATATATTATAATAATTTTAACCCTTTGCTCTCCAATGGTGACTCTCAGTCACCACTCGAATTAATGCCATAATTCCAGCGATCATTCTCCAGCACCATTTGGATTATTATAATATAGCAATTATATATATTATATATATAATATATATATATTATATATATTATTATATATAGTATTATTATAATATATATATATATATTATAATAATTTTAACCCTTTGCTCTCCAATGGTGACTCTCAATCACCACTCGAATTAATGCCGTAATTCCAGTGATCATTCTCCAGCACCATTTGGATTATTATAATGTAGCAATTATATATATTATATATATAATATATATATTATATATATTATAGTATTATTATAATATATATATTATAATAATTTTAACCCTTTGCTCTCCAACGACTCTCGGTCACCACTTGACTTAATATCGTAATTCCAGCGATGACTCTCCGGCACCATTTGGATTGATGCGGCAAATATTATTATAATATATTATAGTAATTATATATTATAGTATATTATATATATTATATATATTATAGTGTATTATATACAGTATTATTATAATATATAATATAATAATTTTAACCCTTTGCTCTCCAACGGTCACCACTCGAGTAATGCCGTAATTCCAGCGATCATTTTCCAGCACTATTTGGATTATTATAATATAGTAATTATATATATTATATATATATTATATTGCATATAATATATATATAATATATGTATATTATATATATTATAGTATTATTATAATATATATATTATAATAATTTTAATCCTTTGCTCTCCAACGGTGACTCTCGGTCACCACTTGAGTTAACGTCACTTGCGATAACTTGACCGGCGACAATATTTATTTATGTTTGATTTTTTAGAATATCGCTTCATAAATAGGTTCCTAACCTCTTTACGTATAATCTTATGAGGTGTAATCTTATCTTATGAGTAATTATCTTATGGTAATCTTATGAGGCCATCAAGCGCACCAAACGCGCGGGTGTCTGAGTCTGGAGTTGCTGGTTCGAGCGAAACAGATCTGAAGTACAAAGGGTTAATAATAATTTATATTCATCACGGTGTTTTCTTTTGTTTCAGCTCTTCCAGGATACGCGATTCTCTCGATGGTCTTGAGCTCTATCGTCGTCTTTCTCTTCGTCGGCTCGGTGTTCATATACAGGTAAGGGGTAGCAAGATATAATCGATAATAGCTTGCCTATCTCTCGATCAAGAAACAGGGATTGGCCTCCATTTCTTCTCTTCCCCGACTTTTCTCCGTCTCTCTCTCTCTCTCTCTTCTCCTTTTCCTTACCACATATTAATCCTATTAATTTCAAGATTCGTAGATACAGTGCGAATTAAAGGGGAGGTTAGGCGAGCTAGTTTAAGCATTCGCCGACGAATATCGAACGGGTGAAAACGGATTTCCATGCAAATCCGTCCTCCATCTTGAATTCTTTTCAACACGTGGAAAAAACATTCTTTCTTTCTTTCCTGTTTCCAGGCACTTTAAGCTCGAGGCGGAAATAGCTTCTATGACGTGGAAGGTGCACTGGAACGATATCATCTTCGTGCCGAACGCGAAAACCCGAGGCTCCATGTTTTCCTTGATCGCGAACAAGATGCGTGGTAGTCAACTGGTGAATGAGAAATATTATACCTCCACTTTGTGAATATGAAAGTTTAAAAAAAAAGAATGCTCTCAACCTGAGTGCATCGTCGATGAGCGCCTCGATGATTACCAATTAATTCAACTTTTGCAAACTCTCTCGCATACAATTCGTTTTTCTTCCCCTCTTTCTTTTTTTTTTTCCTTCTTTTCAAATAAGTAAAAATATGATTAAAAAATTGGCTCGAAATTATAAAATTTCGTTGGAATTATTTGAAAAGAGAAGAGAGAAAAAAATGGGAAAACGAGTATAATATATATGCTTTTACACGTGGAAAATTGTATTGAATTTTTGGAAGAATTTTAAAAAGAAAATATGTGTGTATACATATTGTAAAGGGAAGCGGATAAAATGCTCGGTCGAATATTTCTTTTATCTTTATGCCATTTTTGGATCGCGTAAATGAGATCGTGTGAAAAATATTTTACGATATATTTACACGATGCGATTTCTTAGACTTAGGGGAGAAGGCGTTCGAAATTCGAATCAAAAAACTTCTTTTCTTTCAGACCATATACTCGGACGAAAATATTAGTATGCCAGGTGAAATAGACAGAAACGTCTACATTCCAACCGGAATTTACAAGGTTCGACCTTACTGATGGTAAAACGACGTGTCTCTAAATTTACCTTACTTCGCGTGTTATTTCCTTTCTTTCTCTCTTTCTATTGCCTTCCTTCCTTCTCGCTCGCGGATCGTAATTAACGAAAATTAACGTTTTTTCATAATACATACACGTACGTAATGCAATTCGCCGCAGAACTCTACAGTGGCCATAAAACTTATACTGAGGAAAAAGGTGGAAATCTCACGGCCTTTGTTGCTGGAATTGAAACGGGTGAGTTTTTCTTTAAATTTTCGATTTAAAAACGTTCTATCGAACGAGGGAAAAAAGTTAGAGTTAGAGTTTATCGATTCAAGAAAAAAACGTAGATATTAAATTTATTCTCAATTTTATTTCCCTTTTGCGCGCGCAGATGAAGGATCTTCAACACGATCACCTAGTCCGATTTTACGGTGCTTGCATCGAACCACCGTACTGTTGCCTTTTGACCGAGTACTGCCCGAAAGGATCTCTCCAGGTTGGTCGATAAATTTTCATTACAATACGTCCCTCTTAAATCCGTTCTAATTTCCTTCTCGCGAAACTCGTATGTACTGTAATACACTTGTAACGAGGGGATGCACACGAAGAGAATGTAACAAAGCTGTTGATACGCGCGGAACAAAAGTTAGCCCCTAATAGCAGCTAGCCGTTAATACACGTATACGTGTACGTACACCTATCTCACGGTCCGCGGTGAGTGAGTGAGTGAGTATGAGTGAGAGAGAGAGGGAGAGAGAGAGAGAGAGAGATGGGATTAACTTTGACCGAGGTCGATGTGTGACCGCCGCGTCCGCGGCATGCATTCGTTATCGAGCTCGATTAAAAATTTAATCGAATTCTCGAGATTAAAGTTTTTTTCGCTTCTTCCCTCTTAATATCCATCCATACACTCCACGATGAGAATAAATTTCAATACGACATTTAATGCGATTTTATTCCCCTCGAAAACAGGATATATTGGAAAACGAGCAGATCAAATTGGATCGGGTGTTCCGTGGATCGTTGATCCACGATATCGTGCGAGGGATGGTGTATCTTCACGCGTCCGAGGTGAAGAGTCATGGAAATCTGAAATCGTCCAACTGCGTGGTCGATTCACGCTTCGTCCTCAAGATCGCCGACTTTGGATTGCACGAGTTGAGGAGGCCTGCTTACTGCGGGGCGGAAGTCGACAAGAACAATTACGCGTTTTGGAGGGGTGAGCGAGTACAGTTTTGTATAGTCGAATTCATTTAGTTGGGGAAGAGATAAATCGAGAGGGAAAGGGATAAAGCAGGTGGGTAAAGAGAGTCGCGTTCAAAGGAACCGGGTCAAATGACTGATCCGTGTCCACGTTCCATTGATTGTGCTTGTCAACCACACCTTTGCCTCTTTTTCGTTCCCTCTGTGCACACTGGCTGGTTGCTCAGCTGTATATACATGTATATATATTTTTCAAACACGTCTGTACATTATCGTACATAGTGAATGTAGCAAGGATCGCGACCTTAAAATATTCTTGTTTGAACAGGGCAGCTGTGGACGGCACCGGAATTATTGCGAATGGAAAGGCGGCCACCCGAGGGCACCCAGAAGGGCGATGTGTACAGTTTCGCTATAATCGTTCACGAGATCGTGGTACGCCAGGGGCCATTTTACTTGGGCGAAGATTACGACTTTTCCCCGCAAGGTAAGTCGCTTGCTTCGCATCTCTTATATATATTCAATATATTCAAGTACTCTCGCGTGGTACGTACTTGCACACACACATATATATTCCTTCTTACTTACTTTTACTAACCGAGTTAGCTACTAGAAAAAAAGAAAAAAAAAAGAAAAAGAACAGAATCAACCGACCGATCGAGCGAACGATCGGTAAGGCAGTTTCTAAGAGTAGTAGTTTCGTATCGACCGCGATGCGACACGTCGCGTTGGTGGTGGTCGGGTGGGTACAACGGGAGAAACGATGAAAACGAAACGAAACGAAACGGGGGGCGGGCGGCTCGTAGGAGAAGGGAAAATGGTTGGTTGGCGCGTAGTTATGACGCCTGGTCAGATCAATCGGTAACGAAGTTTACGAGCATTCGCAACCTCAGTTTTCGCGGACGCCAGGATCGATGAAAGGATGGAACGTGCCACAAGTAGGCTGGGAACGTTTCGAGACCGGGGTTGAAAGCTCAGTCGAAGCTTTCACGCGTCCTGGAACGTACCACGGCCTTCGCCACGCGCGTGCTTCCTCGTCGCTTCTCCGTTTTCCTCCTCCCTTTCTCCCGAGTCCACGTTAACCACGTTCTCTCTCTTTCTCTCTCTCTCTCTCTCTCTCTCTCTCTCTCTACCTATCTCTCTCTCTATCTCTCTCTTTCTTTCCCACTCTCTTCCACTCTCGTTTCGATCTTTGTTTTTCTCGTATATGGATACGAAAAGGAGGATCGTGTGCGACGACGACACGTGAAATTCGAGAGAGACACGATAGATTCTGTGGTACGGCGAACCGTGGGGTCAGGACCTCGGTTAAGTCGGTCTGACCACCACCATGGTTTAATTAACCGTATCAACCCTTCGAAGAAGGACGCGTGTTCGTGTGTGCGTATGCCTGTGTGTGGCGCGCGCGCGCGCGCGCTCGTGTGCCTTTCTGCGTGGCTGCGTGCCTCGATTGTTTGCGTGTCTGCTGCTGCGTGGCTGCATGCCTGCGCTTCCGACTACGCGCTTGTGTTTACCAATCGCTCGACCGTTCCATTTACGCGGCCCGATTTTCCTTTTTGCTCGATATTCGACTCTTGCATCCCCCTTCTTGCCTCCCTTCCACAACACTCTCTTCCCCCTCCCGCCCTTGTTGTGACTCTCTCTCTCCCTCTCTATTTCTCCTCCCTCTCCCCCTCTGCCTGTCTCTCTCTCTCTCTCGTCTACTCATCTCTCTCTCCCCCAGTGCCCGCTTTTTCGAACCCAATTACCCTGATTTCGTATCCAGTGATCCGACGATTAATTGATTACTTCGTACGGAACGAAAACTATAAACGGGATATAACTCGGTGTTAGCTGGGGGGGGAGGGGGGGATTATTCGTTTTCATTAGCGTGAAGCGAGAATATTAGATCGTATCAAATATTTTTTTTGCTCTTTCTCTCTCTTTTGTAAAACGATTACGATAAAACGATTAATAACGAAACGTTGAAACGATCGATTTTTCTTCTGTATTTTCTATGTGAAACTCGTTTACGATATTTCGTCGGACACGAAAACAATGGGTTGCGTAAAAGCGAGAAAGTAATATCGGTTTTATTCATCGCCAGAGTATTCTTTTTTGCGCGATTTCCGATGGAATTTGTTCGAAAAGGGATGGGAAATAAGTCGTAAATAAAAAAAAAAAAAGAAGATCGTTCGTAATACGATAGAAATAATCGCGTGTCGTTCTCGATCATTCGATATTGATCATAATTTAAATTAATTAAACATTGAAGCAGAATTTAATCTTTACATCTTTCTTTTTCATGTTTCATATCACCGCGTGTATGGATAGCGAGAACGAAGAAGAAAACGTGAGGAGGAAATGTGTGGCGAGAGAGAGAGAGAGAGAGAAAGAAAGTATGAAATTTTGAATGATGGATAGAAATGAACATTGAAGCAGAATTTAATCTTTACACCTTTTTTTTTCATGTTTCATATCACGATAAACCGCGTGTATGGATAGCGAGAACGAAGAAGAAAATGTGAGGAGGAAATGTGTGGAGAGAGAGAGAGAGAGAGAGAGAGAAGAAAGGAAGTGTGGAATTTTGAATGATGGATAGAAATATATGGTGGTGATCGGGATAGATAGAGAAAAGAGGAGAGGAAATGGCGGAGAGAAGCAATACGTCGAGCACGAGTAGTTTAACTTTGCCTACGATGCCGGGCGCAAGTCCCGACGGCGGGGCCAGTCCTCGAAGGGCGGTCAGCCCCTTGCTCGAAGTCCGTAGGCCCCATTGCACCCTCAACTGCGAAACTTGCAACGCCTTCTTGGAGGATTTGTACAGGCATAGTAGGTCACTCTTCTTCTTCAAAGAAGAATTATTTCTCCCAATTTTCTTCCAATCATCGTTTCTTTTTTTATAAATTACAAATTAATTCTCTCGCAATTCGAATTTCAATCAGAGTTGGGCGTTAAAAAAATTAGAGAAAGTAACTAGTTAAAAATTTCGAATAAAAGTTTACTTTACGTAATCATTTATTAAAATGCTCGAATAATCTAGTAGATATTGTAATTGATTTAGTTTAGCTTTTCATACAACCGTTTGTCAACTGCACTTTGTTTGCGATTATTATTATGCTTTGAATAAATTACCGAAGTAAGTTTAATCAATAACAATCATCTAAACTCTAAGATTCGTCAAAAAAATAATAACACAGACATCGTGAAATTAAGCTATTTTCCACTCACGAGAGAATCACCATGTATATCTCGCAACCTTGTATAGACACCTTTCTTCGAGCGAAGCAATCTATCGTCGTTCGACCAGGCAAGACTCGTTTCACTGAACGGTAGTAGTAAGACGAACGATCGAACCGACGCGCCGTACAATACACGTTTCTCGCTATATCTTTCCTGGTTATAATCGTATAAACGTGATGTCGCGCGATAATGAAATAGAGGAGAACTTTCTTATGTAGCTTATATATATATATCTCTCTTGTTTCAGAAATAGTGGAAGGAGTGAAAAGAGGAGGTGGTTCTCCGTTGAGACCCGCGATCGACGATGCTGCGGTCGAGGAAGAGGTAATTTCTCGCAATTTCGAGAGCGTTTAATTTCTAGCTATATATAACTAAACCTACGCCTCTTGCAGGTGGCCACCTTGATGAGGAAATGTTGGGCGCAAGACGCCGCAGACAGACCAGATTTTCCCGCGCTCAAGCAGACCATAAGGAAAATTAACAAGTGAGTTCTTGTGTTTCACGAGTTGTTGTCCATCTCTCGACTTTTATCATAATCCTCTATGTATTCATTTCAGAGATTACGAGAGCAGCAACATTCTCGATAATCTGCTCTCTCGTATGGAGCAGTACGCGACGAATTTAGAAACGTTGGTGGAGGAACGTACAGCGGATTATCTGGAGGAGAAACGCAAATGCGAGGAACTCTTGTATCAGTTGTTACCAAAGTAAATGAAGGATAATCGTTATTTCGCGACTTATCTTCAAGAAAAAAGATATATTTGTCGAGTACAATTTTTTTTTTTCTTTTTTAGGTCTGTCGCATCCCAGTTGATAATTGGACAGAGCGTGATAGCCGAAACTTACGATCAAGTCACCATCTACTTCAGCGATATCGTAGGATTTACGAAACTCTCGGCCGAGAGTACACCACTTCAAGTGGTGGATTTATTGAACGATCTTTACACGTGTTTCGACTCTATCATAGAAAATTTTGATGTTTATAAAGTAACGTTGCTTTCAAACGAGCATCGTCTCTTCTCGAGCAAATTTGTAAATATATATATATATATATATATATTTATTTTTCTTAGGTGGAGACGATAGGCGACGCTTACATGGTGGTGTCAGGATTACCGGTGAGGAATGGAACGAATCATGCCAGGGAAATCGCGAAGATGAGTTTAGCGTTAAGGGACACCGTGATGACGTTTAGAATACGTCACAGGCCAAACGAGCAACTGAAACTTCGAATTGGAATGCATTCCGGTAAAAATGTCTCGACAATCTTTTTCACTTATATCTCTTATTTCTCCTTGCGTCGCAAGTAAAACAATGAATCGCGTAAACGTATTTAAAAGACTGTATCATTATTTCAGGGCCTTGCGTGGCTGGTGTCGTTGGTCTGAAGATGCCCAGGTATTGTTTATTCGGGGACACTGTGAACACCGCATCCAGGATGGAAAGTAATGGAGAAGGTAATGCCAGTATGGTTTATTTCTTCAAACGTTTCCTCTTAAGAATATGTATTATATTTTTACCATTTGCAGCTCTAAAGATCCACGTCAGCCCAAAGACGAAAGAAATTCTAGATACCTTTGGGACGTTTGAACTCGTTTGTAGAGGCGAGGTTACTTTGAAGGTTAAAAATTTTATCATCTACTATTCATTCTATATCCATGCTTCTTTTTATTACAAAATTTTCTGTTTTATTTATAGGGTAAAGGTACGATGACCACCTACTGGTTGATCGGTGAAAAACCAATGAATAGGAATGTTCAAGAAACAATCACCGTGTCCTCGGTGATGACAACAGTAACATCCATGACAACGACGAGCAATCAAGTGTCGATCGAGCAACCACGATCTCACGAGGATCGTGGAAGCGTAGCTGCGTATCAACCGGTGCAATCGAAAACGCACGAGGTTCAATCGACGACAAACAAACAGAATTGTCAAGAACAAAATCATCGGGCGGCGCAAAAGGGGGTTCAAGAGCAGCAAAGAACGCAGTCGAGTCAGCAGAAAGGTCAAGAGTATCGGGAACAACAGGTTGGAGGACAAGGCGGGAGTCCGGAATTGCAGAATCGCGGCAAGGGAGGCAGTGGTAGCAAGGATAGAAGTGGTGGCGATGGTGGCCGCGGTGGTGGGAAGGAAGATGGTGGAGGTGGAGGTGGAGGTGGAAATAGAGATTGGAACGACGGTAACAAGGACGAGAGCAAGGTGGAGAGACAAGGTGGAGAGACATTTACCAAGGGAAACGGTTTAACGAGTCGTGTACGTACGATAAGCAACGGTTCGTCCGCTTCACCGTCTCGTAATCATTCTCTCGGTTCGACATCGTCGACCAATCTTTCACAGGGGCGACGGCCCTATCAAGCTAGCGAAAGCGTGGCGAATCACACGGAAAGCGGTTCGAGCGCACCCCTCCTTGTACCCACGACACCCCCCTCGAGAGTTTAGTTCCTTTCCTTCGTTCTTTTATTCTCGCCACACACATACACACCTTGCGATCTTCCGAATAAATCATCCTCGATATACGTGTATCATCATGTAGAGTAGCAGCTGATTAACTTTCGGATCGGTAACTATCCGATCGAAATTTGGGTCCACACGTTCGAAAGAATTTCTTTCGAAGTAAAAAAAAAAAAAAAAAAAAAAAAAAAAAATGAGCGTTACGGGAACACGATCGTTATTTATTGTATCGAAGGAAGGAGGGACCAACGTGCACCTCGAAGGAGAAGGTAGATAATTCTGCCCTCGCGGTAGATAAGTTCCTAGGGTCGAAGGTTTGTCTCTCTCTCCCTTCCTCTCAGCCATCCTTTCATTCTTCTTCTTTCTCTATCTCTCTCTGTCTCTCTCTCTCTTTCTCTTTCTATAGGTATTCGTCTCGTATTTCGACGGATAACGCCAATACTTTCCAAGGATCGATGCTTTTTAATAAAAAAAAAAAAAAAATTCATCGAAATCCGAGAAGAGAGACGTGTAAAGTAAAATTTAACGCGCGCAGGAATCGATTGAAAAGCGTGGAAGCGTGCAATACGAGAATATTAATTTTAATAAAGCTATTAAAGAGTTTGGAAAGTCGGGAAAAATCGATCGAATATTTTGTCTTCCTCCTCGTTCTATTTGCAGCATATAGTAATTGAGCGCTATTCATTTTCGTGATTCGATCGAAACGTGTTCTATCGAGAAATGAAAGTTATCTGAAATAAATTTCAAAGATAAGCGATCGAACAGAAATGTAAAAAAAATAGTAAATTTTTGCGCGTTCCCATGTTGGTAAAAGATATGTACATACATATATATATCTATACAAGGTAATCATGTTAAAAGAGGCTAGCTAATTATCTTCTATAGTACCATTCATATACTGAGGAATGTATTTTAAACAAAATCCGTGATTTTAAAAATTCCGAAGAAACATCTTTGGAATTCGACATTAACACATATTCGTCCATTGATAAGCATTTAAATTTCGTTTGTAATATTTTTTTATCGCGTCGAAGATAATCAGGCAACCTGTTTTAACTTGTGATACCCCGTACGTTAGATTCTCACGCATGAGTTATACATAAGTGCGCACATACACACACACACACACACACACACACACACACACACACACACACACACACACACACATTCACGCAAAGTTAAAGTTTTACACTGTATGTATCTGCGGTGTACAAAGAAAAAGAGAGGCTGGACCTCGTTCGAAAGTCACAATTGCGAAACACAATGGAAATTCAATCGAAGAATCTTCGAAATCTGCTTATTGGTTATGCGGAAAAACTAACGCGTAACGTAGTCGTGCACACGCGCCCGTTTCTTGTTTATATGCGCGTTCACGCTGTGAAAGGAATGAAAGTATACAAAATACATTAGCGCAACGTCAAGCAACGTCGAATTTCTCTCTATTCGTGTCAATCTCCTTTTTTGAACAGATGTAACAGTTGATTATTCGAGGAAAATAAAGTTTCTTCGTTTCCACGTATTTCTTCCACTGAAATCGGTGGATAAAATCGAATCTTTAATTTTTTAACTTACTTTTAATATATTTTTAAACGAGAATGATATAATTGTCGTAAAGCGTTAATTTACATTTACTATATTTACGATTTTAAACGCAATCATTGGAAGAGAGATGTTCAAACTTAGAACACAGCATTCTTGAGTATCCAATCGAGATAGAAATTGACCCGCGTATATATTCCAGGAACTCCTCGATTTCCACACCCGATTCCCCAAGACACTATCCCGATGTTCACCCATCTACTGTTTTCAAGTTGATGCAATAACGGCCCACCCGAATCACCCTGTGCGATGGAAAAAAAAGAACGAAAATAACCTCATTAAAACAAATACTCGAGAGACTCGCGTCTTTCGTGATCTTTTGTACCGACAATCGATATTTTTTTACCTGACAAGAATCGCCTCCACCTTCGTAAGAACCGGCGCAGATAGTCGTGTTGGGAATTCGTTGGACGAAACTTCGCGTGCATCTGTCTCGTGGCCATACCGGTACACCGACCTCCATCAAAACCGTGCTCGCTGGCCCCCCGTAATATCGAGTACCCCACCCCGTCACGATCGCGCTTTCGTTCTCGAACGATTGACCGATAGGTGGCAGGCACACCGGCCAGATGTAACTGTCGAAAATGGTCGGTCGGTGCATCTTGATCACAGCTATATCGTTCTCGTACGTGGCCGTATCGAAATCCGGATGGATACTAATTTCAACGATGGAGAAATCCAAAGCTCTCGTCTCCTCCGTCGACTCGAAATCGTATTCGCCGAGTCTCACTCTTACGTCTCGAGGTTTCAAACTTTTTATTTTTTTGAAGAAACGAAGAAAGAAAAGACAATTTTTAAATTTTAAATCGAAAAAGTGTAAGATTATATCAGGTTTGTTGAATTTTACCCATCGACGCAATGAGCCGCGGTTAAAACGTGTCTATCCGTGATGAGGACACCACCGCAGTATTGAGACTTGTCTTTTTTGAGGAGAGCCACCATCCAGGGCCACTCTGTCGGATCGGCCGGCCTACCACCGGCTAATCTGCTCCGACTTTTTAATGTTGTTCCGCATCCTCTCGACACTTGCGGATTTCGAGACGAGCTCGACGCGCCCTCTTCTTCCGTCGACCAAACGATTCTGCTTTCGTTTCGTTTTTCCTTGTCCACTATAATCGCAATCACATGTAAGTAATATATATAGTATATGTAAGTCAAATTAATCGAATTGTGTCTTCGTACCCGCAATTAACGGAAGAACTTTGGCGAAACTTTGATCCTCCGTATCCTTTTTGTACATTCCGTTCCAACGATTCGAGCAACAAATGCCCATGTATCTGTTTGAATTTAATTTAACGAGATTTGAATGTTGAGAAAAATTTGGATCATAAGTTTGTTCAAACTTACGCATTTCCTATCGTGCATGAGTGAATCACAGCGAGCGTAAAATTTGAATCGTACTCGTGATAAAAACATCGTCTCAAATAATCGCAACTCCCTGTCTCGTTGTTTAATCCGGTACACGAGTCGTCTGATTCTTTTCCTCGAACGAAATTTTCTGAAGTTATTAATATAAATGAAAAGATACGAGATAGCGACCGGATGATGTTGGCAATAGATAGGAATATATCGGTAGTCATTGCTTCCGTTTGAAAACGAAATACAATTATTTCGCTCAACATCGATGTAAAAAAAAATTTTTAACGCAGATCTGTGTCGCGTTATGAAAAGTGGCACGTTTGTCTTAAAATAATATGTTTCATTTTCGAGAAAGAAAAATAAATTTCATTTTTTCGTTATCTGAATAATAGTAGGATATTTCGTCTTTTCCATGAGAATTAATTTATTTCATCGAATGAAAATGAAAAAATGAAGAATGTTATATACGAACAATATTAAGAAACGAATAGAATCACTTACCTGTTGCGTGTCTGTTTTCAGTGGAACATAGAACGAACGATACGGCGTAAAAAATAAAAAGATATAATGTTGATGGTATTATTTTTCTTTTGATCTGCATCTTTGAGCAAATTAATCACAAGAAAGAACAATGGTGAATCACGGAATGAAGAAAACAGCGGAAACGAATCGTGAGCGCTCATTTATAAGCGTGCGCTGTTGCAATATGCAAGCCGTTGTACACAGTCGCTTTTCGTTTTGCTGATATTAAGGCGCTAATATCGTGAAACCGATTCATTGATTCATATTGGAGTATGTGTAAGAATGCGTTTATATTTTTACACATTGTTATGTATTATATACAATATTGTATTTCTATATATGGTACATATATTTTTTTGTATTTTATTTTGTCATGCGATATTATTGATTTAGAATGAAATAAGACGACAGCGTGATGGAATAAGAGAAAGTATAATTAAATGTAAGAATGATCATTTATCTTTGAAATAAAAATTAAAAATATGATCTATTTATAAAATTTAAATATAATATATCTTAGTTACCTTTTATTATTATTTTATATGGCATTAAATGTTTTTCAATTATTTTTTTAATTCTAAAAATACTTATCATTAGCATATTTACCAATAATTATTTTTTGCTTCGATATTATTAATATTATAATGATTATATTAATATTATAGACAAAAAAAACAATAAAGTTAATGAAATATTTGCGCCATCTTTTGAATTTTTTTGATTAAAACTAAACAAGGAAAACAAATAGTAAGAGAAGGACAGAGATAGGGTAAAATTATTGAAATCAGCGCCATCTTCAGTGTGCCGCAAATGAAACTCAATACACAAGGATAACAAATAATACGAGAAGGATAGAAATAAAATAAGAATTCATCATTAGCGTCATCTCTCGATTATCGTACACACTTTTCAGGTTAGGTAACATAGAATAAGAATTAAAAACTAGCGCCGTAATGTTAGCGCTAACTCTGAATTCTTACTCTACATTATCCACCTTATGAAGAGGTATCTTCAATTTTCGAGAGATGGCACTGATGGGCAATTCCTATCATATCTCTATCCTTCTCTAATTATTTTCCGTCCTTGTATATTGAGTTTCATTTGCGGCACTCTGAAGATGGCGCTGATTTCAATATTTTTATATTATCTCTATCCTTCTCATCCTATTTGCTTTCCTTGTCTATCCTTGCAATATTCATGCGCTGAAACGGCGGCAATATTCGATTAACTTTATTGCTCTTCTTGCCTAACCCATTAATTAAAAATCTTAATAGAGTCTATTCAATACATTTTTTATATGTCGTTAATATTCCAACAAGTTAATATCCCAATCGAATATAAATATCTGAAGCGTATGTGCTTTGGCTTGAAGAGAAAAATTAGCATTGAAGCTTTTTTTCCATTTTGCAAATTAGTACTCTCATACATAAATCTTAATCGATCTTCACAATTCACCGATGGGATCGTGAAAAATGTTTTATGGCAAATGGAAAGTGTGCGAATGGCAATAAGTTTGGCGGGGGTAAAAAGAAAGAGATAGGAAAATGAAAGAGGAGGGCAAAGATAGAAGGGATTTGGCATGGCAGAAACAGGAGGAACGCGTTGAAAGAGAAGGCGAGAAGAGCTTGAAATCGAGGACAAGCCAGGGGCATTTCCATTTAAGGTACCCCGTGTGGAATCTCTCGTTCCTCTCTCGGCGCCACTTTAACACATATATATATATATATATTCGCGAAACGTTTATCATTCACGTAACACATTTTTCGCGAGGAAAAAGCTCTCGTATAAAAAACAATTTTAAGCAAGATTCGGACCGTGAACATTTTCGTGCGACAAAATTTCTCAAAAACTTGATTATTCACTCATTTATTGTCGTTTACATATGTGGAAATAAAATATTAGATAGATAAATGATTATTGTTAAATATAAGATATAAGTAATAACATCATTTTTTCCTTGGCATCTTTTATGCAGTATCGTTTAACGGAACAGGTTTAGCTGAGGGATCCTTTAAATTCAACGTATAGCCGTGCATCTTTGAAGTATTAGTAATGGGGTCATAAATTCTTTCAATATGTTGAAGAGTGTCGCCTATAATTTTGTCCGTGCTTTCACGGATATAAGGTTTTCCATCGGAAGTACGACCGGATTGAACGATCTTAGTTCCATCATTATTCGATATGACGACACTGTTTCCTCCAATCATTTGGATCATAGAATTATTAGAATTATTATCTGAAAAAAATGACGTCATCCAATTTCGAAAAACGCAAAATGATTACGTATAGTTATTATTAGAAAAAAACGTTCGATTGCCTTGAAAAATAGATAGAGAGAAAGAGAGAATGGATCTCTCGGTTGATAGTGAAAGGAACGTTTGCATTGGTAAAATAAGGTTAATAATTTCCAGATAATGAGTCGAAAAGAAATTGAAAAAATTTAACACCGAATCGCATACCTAGATTTTCCGTCAATCGATGAACTTGTTCCAAATTTCTTTGCACCGTGTTATGTATTCGTTGTTGCAGCTGGTGCATATTTTGTTGTAAATTCCTGTTCAACGCATTGATATTCTCGTTCAGATCTCTCAACCAATTCGTTCCCATGTACACTTGTCCGTCAGAGCTGCTGCCAATCGAAATGCGCATTAGTACAAATTTGCGTTGGTACTACTGGTCCAGCTATATCTCACACGCACAAAAAGAATGAGGGAGAAAGCCGGCTTTCGTAAATGCATCGCGATCAGTAAGCCGTGAAACCGGCCTGTCAATCGACTAACCTGCACAACATTGCTCCAACGAGTATCACGACACTGATGCTGGCAACGATTGGTCCTCTCATCCTAGTTTCTATTTTTCTTCTCTTTTCTTCTCTTCGTTTCTCTCTTTTCCTCTTGCTTTCTCAATTAATTTTTTTCATACGATATACACAATATGCGAATAATGTTTTACTTACACGCGGTGAACGTGAGAATCAAGAAAATAAGATTACTCGAATAGTTATATGAAACGCGAAGTATTAACCTTTCTTTCCCCCTTCAAAGTTCTATCCATGTCGTGTATTACGTTCGAACCATTACCTTTCCTTAGCTGTGTGCGATGCGTCATCGACGGATAGCAGTGCGCACGAGTACATCACTCATTAGATATATGTATATCAATGGCGTATGCCGCTTAAATTGAAACCTAATCTATATTCTGTTACTTCCATAATTGCATAACGCTTATCTCATCCAATCCAAACTTCCGATAGACGACATTGGTGATGCTGTGATTCTAAGAATCGATCCATCGAAAAAAAATATGATACACTCGAATCGTGCTTCTTCGAATCGCGAGACGATTCTCTCGATTTCAAAATTTTTTCATCTATTTTTTCAATTCGCGTGCCAATGAAAAAGCTAATTATATTTTCGTTCGAGTCAGATAAAAAGTCACGAGGTTATTATTCATGATAATGAACTTGACACGATGCAAAAAAACGAGAAAATCTAACGATGTGAAAACTGCAAATATTAAGATTAATAAACAACGCAATAAACGATGAGAAAATGGTTACGATTAAAAGAAAGAGGATTGTTATTTTTATTTTATTATTTAATCGGCATTGACAGTTACAATCATTAAGAGGTTAGCATAATAGATTTCGAACCATTATCTACATATACATTTCTACTTATTCTTTCAGATATTAATTATAAAAAAAAAAAAAATGGAAAAAAATAAAAAACGATGCCACTCTTAATTCCTCGATCTTGTATAACATAACTTTGATACTCAAAACAGAACTAGAGATTCTATGTTGACGGAAGAAAGGTGTATTGAAAAAGAAAAAAAAGGTTGGCTACATTTGGGGGAGGATAGAACGCAGAGACGACATCGAAGAGGGGGGATGGGGGTATGGTTGACCCATGGGGCAGAAACTGGTTTCGGATTCGGATTACGCGCCCGTCCCAAAACCGTTCTCGCATATACATACGCTCTAGGCTACGACGCATCGACCCCCCACGCGACCACTCCTACGGTAAATGCGGTTCTTCCATCCTCCCGACCTTGAACTCTCTCTTCTTCGTTTCTTTCCTTTCCTCTAGGCAGTGCGCTCCCCTCCGATTCCCTCTTCTCTTTTTACTCTTACATATACAATTGCGTGATGGTTCTTTGCATCTCTTCAAACGCTTTTGTTTTTCCTCTCTGTTTCACTTTTTTAATCGTGACAAACGAACACTTTTCAATATTTCATCTAAAATCTATTTGGAATTCGAAAACACGAATCTTCGAAATTCATATCCAATTTTATATTTTTAAAGTATTCTTTTTTTTCTTGTCATTTTATGCTCCTATATCACCCGCAATAATGTGCAGCAGGTATATGTATAACAGGTAGCAAAGGAATCGAATCGTAAAAGTGTAATGCTTCAGTTCCTTCCTCTCTCTACTCGGTCCCCTTCGTAATCCCATCAGCTCGATGAACCGACCGATCTCGAAACGAGAGCGAGAAAGAAGGAGAAAGTCAGAGAAGGAGGGAGAGAAAACTCGACCGAGCCGCTTGGTCGGTAAGATGATCGACCTTGGACGATTTGGCCTTCGAATAGGGGGCTGGTCGTCCTTTGTCGAGGACGAGATCTTCGAGATGAGAACGGCTGGATATATACAAATGCGTTTCTCTCGCCCGATTGTTCGTATTCGATGAATACTACCCATACAAGGCGAGTAAGGCGAAGATAAACAACATTTCGAGATCTTTCTGGTCAGTTTCGAGATAAAGTCGATCGACTTTTTACGAGTGATCAAGAGCTTGATACAACGAGAAGAGATCTTCGATCGATCAAGTCGAAAGAAATACGACGAGTCGTTCATCGGCCATCTAGGGAGAATCGTGGAAAACAGCAAAGTGGTTTTTCCACACCGGGGGCCGTGTGTATACGTATACGCGTATGAGATCGAGACTCGACGAGCAACCAAGTAAATAGTGGGGAGGTCGTACGACGAACGGTGGTTCAGTGTTCTCGCGGCATTCGAGACGCATGGATGGAACGTGATGTGAGGTTAGCTCGAACCTAACTTGATACACGAACTGAATATCATGCTGTTCTTTCTTTTTAACAAATCTTTTACAATCTAAAATTGTGAATCGATTGTCAAGAAAACGTGTCTCGAA